ACACACACACACACACACACACACACACACACACACACACACACACACAGTTTTCTAAAGTAAGACAATGCATTTCTAGAAAGTCAAGCCCAAATAAGAATGTGTTACTTCAACTTTGGTTACCTAACTTCTATTAAGGGCCCTAATGAAAATCTGCCATTACTGCTTAAAGAACAAGCAATCTTTCTACCTTAAATACTGCAAATCCTTATAAATTTAGACTATACTACCTTAATAAATCACAGAACTGCTCTCATTAAATTTCACTTTACTGTCATATCCCTGACCAATAAAGCTGGCCATGTAGCTCACAAACAGCCACATGAAATCCATAAATACTACACTTTTTTTTTTTCTGGTTTTTGAGACAGGGTTTCTCTGTGTAGTCTTGGCTGTCCTGGACTCACTTTGTAGAGCAGGCTGGCCTTGAACTCAAAGAGATCTGTCTGCCTCTGCCTCCCCGAGTGCTGGGACTACAGGCGTGTGCCACTGTGCCTAAATACTGCATTCTTATATTACACAATTTCCTCTAGATTAAGACACAATATAATATATATGTATAATCATATATATTATACACATATCACACACACAGGTAGAGTTTCACTGTGTATATGTAGTTTTGGATGGACTAGAACAGGCAATGTAGACAAGGCTGGCTTCAAGCTCACTGAAGTCAACCTGTCTCAGCCTCTCTAGTGCTGAGATTTAAAGGTATGCAATCCCCATGCTGGCCAATGTGACATAAAGTAGTGCTTTTCTTAAAAGGTTTAGAAAACTGTTCTGATAGGAATTTTCTCTAAACATCACCCTCTACTTTTTCCAGACATATATGCAAACCATAAGCACTTAGAAACTATTCTGAGTTCCATTTTTGAGTATGCATGCCACAGTTACGGGTGAAAGTTGCAGGTGCGTGGATGTGCCTCGTGTGCACGAAGGTCAGACAACCTCCGGTGTGGTCCTCACCTCCCACCCTGAGACAGGTCCTCCTTTTGTTAATGGCGGCTGCACACACTAGGAGAGCTGACCTGTGAACTTCTGAGTGCTCCCTTGTCTCCACCTGCCATGCATGCACTGAGGTCACGGGTGCATGAACTGTATCTGGCTTTAAGTGGGTTATGAGGACTTGATGTCAAGCTCTCAGGCTTGCATGTGCTTTTCCCTCTGAGCCATCTTCCCCAGCACCTATCTGAGCTTCTAAACTCTTCAGGATGATGTGCTATTTGTGGAGGTTGTTCTCAATCTGTTTCAAAATATGATGACTTCAACATAGAAATTTATTCAATATACTGACTTCTACTTCAACTATTTAATCCTTCCTACAAGAAACTGTAGTGAAAATTTAATGTACATAAGAATGATCTTACGAATAAGTATTTAAAATTTAAATATTAGTACAATTACAATTTAATGATATTATTAATATTTTTATGAAAATATATGGCACTTGTAAACTGCTAAATCTTTCCGAAACTGTTTAAATATATTAAAATAATGTGAATACTTAAATGATACACCTAGAAAAAGAAAAGAAAAATCACACTGAAAGCAAGCAGAAGAACTGGGTAAAAAATAAACAAAAAAAACCCCCAAACAATCAAGAAACGAAGACAAAAATCATAGGAACCAAAAGCTAACTCTTACAAAGACCAATTAAACTTATGTATTTGTAGTCACATATGAGAAACCCAAAAAGCTACTAAAATCAGAAACAAAGGAAAGGTCATTACAAGGGATCAATAACATTAAGAAGATAAAAATGTATTTACAACAACAGTGCAACCACAAACTTGATGATTTGATAACACATATAAAATCAATTCCTTGAAAGATACAATCTATCAAAACTCACTTTAGGAGAAAGAATACTATTAATATGTCTATTTCTGTTTTTTTTTTTAAATATAGTGAATAATTAATTGCCTTCAAAAACTGAAACCACCAGACTCTGAAAATTATATTAGTGAATTCTACCAAACATTTATAAAAGAAAAACAAAACCTAAAACAAACAAACAACCCAACAACAACAACAAGAAAAAATGTACCAAAAAGCCAATACCAACTTTCTGTAATCTCTTCTGGAAAACAGGATGCCAATGCCAGAGAAGGAAAGAATGTTTATCATTGCTATTGCCTGGAAGAGCCAGGTCAGCACAGTAAATTAAGGGTGGCGATAAAAGATGGACTGAATGAGTAGGAGGAAAGAAACTTACTGCTCAGAGGACAAGAGTGCCCCAAAAGGTAACATCAAAGAAGTCTTGGAATTAATAAGCAAATAATGGCAAAATTGAAGGGTATAAGGTAATATGCAAAAATATGATGCCCTTCTGACATATTAGCATGAAATCATAAAGTAAAACTGTTCCAATTATATTAGCATTAAAAACTCCAAGAAAAGATCACAGAGAAAACATCTAATACTGCCAGGTTGCCAGTCCTTCCCAATTTGACCTGCAGACTTAAAAGAATCCCAATATAAACCTCAATTACCCTGTAGATATCAACAAGACAATTCTAGGAACAATATGGAGTGGCAAGTGATGTACGACAGTCCAGGGATGAAGGAAGATTAAGTTTGGAAGAATGGTACTTTACTCTAAGACTTATGGAGAGGCTACCACAGTCATTACAGTGTAGTATTGATGAAATCATTGACTGACAGATCGTTATGAGAAGGTAGATTCCCACAATAAACCCACAGAAACACAGTTAACTAAATTCTGAGAAAAATCAATACAACTAAGACAGTCTTTTCAATAAATGGTTTAGGACAAGTAAACAGCCACACTTAAATCTAAACACAGACTGAAGGGCACCATATGTATAATAAATTACAAAACAGCTAGAAGATAGGAGAAAAGTCCTATTATAGAAAATCTAGCTAGTCTTGGGTACAGTAATGAGATTTTTGCTATCCTACCGAAGGCATGATCCATGCATGACACCTTCCTAGAAAAGTAGCATATGAAAAGAGGTATCATGTATCATCAATACACTAAAATGACGAGTAACAGTACGTACCTGTTACCGTGGCCAAATCCAGGACACAACAATGCCAGACACCGAGAGGGATATAGAGAACAACTTTCACTGATTGCTACAGGGAATGGATGGTGCCACACAACAGAATACTATTCAGAAATAAAACAAAGGGGCAAAAAGCCCTGAAAAGATGAGAGGAATCCTAAATGCATGTTAAGTGAAAGAATCAAATCTGAAAAGGCTGCATACCATATGATTTTGACATAGTGTTTTAGAAAATACAGTACTACCGGAACAGTACAATGATCAATGGTTGCCAGGTCTCCAGGTAGAGACAAAGGTACAGGGAGAAGGAAAGAGGAACAGCAGAACACAGTAATGTTAAGAACCCTGAGACTATCCTATGTCATACTGCAATAGTAGACATAT